TTTCGCGCATACCCGCCCCCCGAAACGTCATTTTGGATTTTCTCAAAATGGAGGACCCCAAAGCGGGTGGAAACCAAAAGTAACGAACAGTTAATGATGTTCCGTTTGAGAAACGGGACCGAACATCGCCAGTTGGGTATGAATTTTAATAAGGGACCCTGTGGTGGGCATCCTGTAGGTGGGATGCATGTCCACTAATCACTTTTCAGGTGGTTTCCTGCTAGGTCCTCCAGATTTGCGAGGTCAGAATAAGGGTACCAACTTTTTGCTGTGGCTGTAGTCTATTTTAGTAGGGAACCCAAAACCCCAAAAAAGAAACGGTAGGGAACCCTCCCCCAAAAAAGAAACAGCAAGGACACTACTGGGGGACCAAAAAAGCTTGTTAAAATTCATGGCCATGTCCGGCCGGGAGGTTTTTTTTTGCGCGAGAGCCATGCGCTAAGCCTCGGGCCAGCGCCATGCACCTGGGCAGAAATCAGCACGCAGGTGCTCCAAAAATGGGGGGAATCCCTTGGGTGAATTTCCCTGGTGGATGATGAAACCACCAGGTAAACCGGGAATTGAAACCCATGCAGTTCTTTTTTGGACCAAAACAACCAAGAACAACATCTATGCTTGGGAGTTCTTTCCGCTCAGTAGTCTTCCTTGAGACATGCCCTGAATGACTCGAGTTCTCACGAAGCCCGGGCGTCAGCCTTAAAATGGTTGGCCAGCTCATCAGGAAAAATGTTCCGTTTATCACAGAACCAATCAAATTCCTAAACTCAACACTCTTCGGCAAAATTGCCTGTTTCTGAAAACAAAATGGGCTTTGGCTTCCCGTTGATTTCCCTTGGTAACCGCGAAAGGGTACCCTCACCAACACCTAAGCACCCCCATATCAGCCGCACTTGAACAACATGGCGAAAGTGACTCTCCTGCAAATGGCAAATTCGAGTGGACCCCCAAATCCAGGTTCTCCAAAGGCGATCCCTCTCAAACTTGTTGATGTGTGTGTGTGTGTGTTTGCGTCTGCCTGTGTCGTTCATCTGCTCCGTGTCGACTCTTTTTGGGGCCCAACGGGCCCAACTTCAGGGAGTGCGCGCTAGATTCGCTGACTGGTTGGGCCATCTGAAATCTGAAGCTGCGTCCGAACCCTTTTCGGTACTGATAGTTCTTCAGGAAGTCAGGAATCCACCAACAAAAAAAGGATATCAAGACGCTGGAATCTGCTGAACTCTTCCGCGCCTCGAGGTTAGGGCCCAATGTTCCTAGGACACACGTGATTGCTGCTTTGGACATCTCCAATCCGCTCCTAGTTTTGTTGAGGGGCGTGGAGCCTTTCCTCGTTTGCCCGGACTAAAAACCAAGCCAGTCTTCCTTGGAAGAATGGAGGCACCAGCATTAAGACAAAAGGAGTACCCTTCCTCCCAACGCGGCACCTGAGGCTACCTGGAAGATCGGTTTCCTCTTGGAGGGACCCTCTAGGTGCCATGTTTGAGAAACAATAGGGATGAATTGGCTCGGCCACCTGTCTTCGTGCCCGATTAAGTCCCCTCGCCTAGGTCGTTGCTTCGACGAATTCGGCGATCTGGACCTCACTCGAAAAGGAACGGCACCCGAATCCCCAGCGGCCTGGGCAAACAACACCGGCGCCTTTTCGGTGCACTGGGTCTGTAACGGGACACGCCTGCGCACCAAGTAGGGTAGCCCCTTGCCCCTTACTTCAAAATCCAAATAGCATGCCCGAAGCAGTAGATCTGTGCTGCAAAGCGTATCATGACTGATGCAGGAGTTCCAGCATTCACGGAAGGTTGGCGCATTCAGGCCCGCAGCAGATTGTTGAGGGCCTCTGTTTGAAGGTACCTATCTTTAATTGCACAATTTCTAATCTTGCCCATGTGCAACCATATGAGATGTGGTCATTGTGTCCGGCTACTGGATTCTGGTCAGACACCCCCCATGGTAATTCGGTGAGTGTACCCAAGGTCGTTCCCCGTGCGGCATATGATATTTGCATGTTGCCCACTTCCTGTAGGTGTGTATTGTGATAGGGCACCCAAAAAAAAATCGTCCTTTAAAACCACCCCAAAAAGGGTACCCTCAAAAAGCACACGCCCCACAGGCTGTACGCAAATGCAAATATCTTGCAAGTTGCCCAACCACAAAGTGTAGTGAAACCCAACACAGGCACTTGCTCCGACGAATATGAACCCGTAGAACCTCAAGTGGGCTGTCTGAAATCAGGGAGCCCCTAAAACGGCTGGTTTCCTTTGGTTTGAACGCGCCAAACAACACAAGATACGAAAGAGAGTGGACATGGGATAATATGTCCCTTTCATTCTGGTTCTTGGGAAATATTATGGCGTGAGGAAGGTAAAGGAAAGGATTCCCACCGCTTCATTCCTCATCTCTTCGTCATAGCGGTTAAAAATCCTAAAGGTAACAAATAATCATATATGTTTCATATTGTATTATTATTGTTTTTCTATTTGGATTTATTGTTAACCCTAAAATCATTACATCAAACACAAACATACACATACACACGCACAGACTTCTTCTTTGTACATGAGCAAGCGATTCCAAATTCCCACCTGACAAGTCCCGCAAAAGCCGACCAACCTGAACCAGGTCCCCCAAGCAGGTCATCCTACTCCAGGAAAACCCCTAGCATTCGCGCTCCAATCACTAGGCTGGACTTAGGACCCAGCAAAGAATATATCTTTTTTGCCTGGTTCGGAAGCAAAGGGAACCCCCCCCCCAAAAAAAAAGGGGGGAGCTAATTCTGGGGAAGATCCGTGGTTTGCTCCCGTTTCCTTGGCACCGCCCCCCCCCCCCGCCCCCCTTTTCGCCCCGGGCCGAGGCAAGTGCGCAGGTTTGGATCTGTGCCTCGCGCTGCCTGAGGGGCAAAACGAGATCCGGTTTTACCTGCGAAGGAAACAAAAGGGGAAACCACTCGGGGGAGGGGAGCTACGTTCTTTTCGGGGGAGGGGAGCTAAGAAATTTCCGGGGGAGGGGAGCGAAGGGTCCCTGCAAGCCCACTTTTTCGTTGATGTCGGTCCCTCAAACAGTGTCCTCTGGTTTGTTTGGGGGGGGGTCCAATTTGACACCTGAGCAAATGATCATTCTTCGCGTGAAGCTTTACATGGCACTTAAAGGTGGAGCAACTTAGGGCTGGTCAAACAGAAACTGTGGTTGCTCCAAGCCCCCCGAACGAGCAAAAGGCTGATCCTTTGGTAGGTTTACTGGAAAAGATCTGAATTGGGCGATTTGGCGATTTGGTCATAAAGGCCATGTCGGGACCAAAAGAGCCTTCGAAGTTGTTGGGTTAGTCCAAAGAAACGAGTCCCATTTTGACCAACTCCTTAGAATATCACCATTTGGCATACGCTAAAGTCAGGGGCTCTGGGCTGCATAGCTTGCTGGTGTGGTTATGCCTCAAAATAAGAGGACCTGAAAAAAAGACAAGTGTCCTTTGCGTTCTCCATTTTGAAACAACTACCAAAAGGGTACCCTAAACAAGAAACAAGTAAACCTCCCGAGAAATATCCCAATAACGAGGCCCGAGGAATATCTAATAAACCCTCCAAAAATATCCAGAATCATGAGGGAGACAAACACCGAAGAAGCTTCCTTCTTTGTCTGCTCTTTGGCGAAGAATCGAGGTGTAAGCCAACGAAAAGCACACAAAAGGGGCCCCCTCAGTGCACGGCTCGGTGTCTTTCTCTTTGCCAACATCACGTGCTCGGCGGCCAGGCTACATCCCAGCCGCCTTTGTCTTGAGTCCCGCGCCCTCACCGCCAAGGGGAGGTTCCTCCAGAGCTTCGGCATCGGGTTTCTTCGCCCAGGTCTCATGAGCAAAATGATGGGACACTCCCCCCCTTGCGGCTGAAGATGCGAGTAAAACATATTCTTTTTACTCCCTGGGTCCGGTTTCATCCGGCTTCCCTGAGAACTAAAAACGCCACGAGGAGGGCGTGTCAAAAGGTATGCACTCTTTTGGGACCTGGCGTCGCCTTGTGCCGACTTTGAAAGGGGACACACTTTTGACGCACCTTCAGACACACGGCTGGGTTCCTTCTTGGATTCCCTTTCAACCACCCTCAAGTTGGTGCCGTCACAGAACGTGAGTCCCATAGGCCCATGCTGAACCTACCACGCGAAACCCACAATCGTCAATTCCTTTTTGGACAACCAGAATGTTCAACCCAAGAAAATGATGGCTAAGCTAATTTAGACGATGAATCTCCTTATAACACCCATTTCACAGGAAACAGCAAAAGGAATGCTGTTGGACATTGGCCAACGATTTCCTTTCGAATTTCCCTGCAGGTTTCTTAGAGCGCCATTGATTCTTGTGGTTGGAATCCCAGGATTGTTTGGCCTGTAAAGCAGGGTTGCTGGTGGTGGACATCCGCTGGGTTCTTCGTGTTTTCCCCCTCCTAGCTCTAGGGAAAGGGGTGGGTGGAGGCGTTCTGATTCGATCTGTCTAGTCTTCCCCGCAAAAGAGGACATGGGTTTAGAAATGGAATTCAGCCTTCCCCGATTTCAGTTTCAACAGGCTGATCAACAGAAGCTTGCTGGCAGGGTCGCTCCAAATCAGCTTGACGCTTGCCGCTCACCATGATGAGTGTGTCTTCCCTCTGACGTGCAACACGTCTATATAACCAATTTGGGGGCTCAATGGAAACCCAGTCTCTTCCAAACAATCTAACTCTTTCCCAACAATCATGGAAGTGAGCAAAGGGCTTCTCCAGGATGAAACAGTACATCTTCCAACCGTCAGCTTCCATCATCTAGGTTCTCCAGTAGAGAGGTTCGAATAAGGGTACCATTTTCTCTTTTTTCCTATCTTACTAGGGGAACCCTCCTCCAAAAAAAGTTACGATAAAAGTTGGCACCTAGCTGGGGGGACCTAGATCATGTCAGGGAGGGTAAGGTCATGGGGGTCCACCCTGAACCCCGGCTGCTCAAACCCAACAAGAACTGGGCCATCGGCCTGGCGAACGCCGAGCGCTTCAGGTGCCCCGGGGCCCGGAGCGGAGGCCAGGCTTCGTCCTCTAGCGCGTCGCGAACCAAAGAATCGAAGTGCTTCCGGACATGGCGATGGGTCAAAATCCAAATCGGTCCCCCAGTGAACATCCCGATCCCCACCAAAATAGACGAAAATGGGTGTTGCACCTACCCCAAAATGGTACCATTGGTGCTGACCCACGGCCACATGAAGATACTTGAACTTGGCTGAAGATCCGGCAGTGGAGAATAGATCATTGAACTTCCGGCAACTTGGCTACTCGAAGGGAGTTGTTTGAACCAAGCCTGGCGGAATCTCAACGAGCCAAAGCCTACACATCAGGGGAAGTGAGTGGTGTTTGGGGCGGAACTTAGGATGGACATGCCCTCCTTCTCATCCTAAGCCAACAATAGACCAGCAAGGACTCGCAGCAACTTTGCCAATTACTCAATTCGACGTCTTCCACTGGCTGTCAAAAAAATAGGACGATTATGGCTCTTGGAAAAGCGTTTAACCTCTCACTTCTCCAAGAAACCCGGAAGTGTGGCGACGCAGCAACATCGGAACACCAGCAGGTCAAAAGTTTGGTTTTGGGAAACCAGGTTGTTGTTGTGGTTGCGGTGGCAAAATTGCCAAATGCACTTATGTCAAAATCAAGGGACCCCAAATGTGGTGGCTGTCCTCTAATTTCACTCTCACCGACCAACAAAAACGTGGCCCAAATGTACCCTGCTTGCTGATCCTTGACAAGCGCATGGCCCGAACCTTGGAAAAAGGCTGAGGCAAACAAGGAGGACAAGGATGGCGATGAGTGACACGTGACACCTCCCCTTGAACGCCGGGGCTTTCTCAAGCGGAAGTACAGCGACAAACGCCCTTTGCCGAGGACCCGCAACTGATCGAGGGGTAGCTTCCAAAGAACCGCCAACAACCCAGGGAAGAGGGCCGGCTTTCAAAAGAACAAGGGGGTGCCAAAACTGGGCTGTCCTCAGTTCCCCCGCTAACAAAACTTAACTTTCAGTGGGTGAAATACGGAAATACAACAGCCAAACCAACCAAACAGCTCCAAACATCTAGGGAACCGGATGCCTGGGAGCCACCAAGCATAACCTGAACATTTCGGAATCAGAAAAAATACACCTTCCTCACAAGCCAAGCTCGATTGTGTATCCCCCGCTCGCCGCCGAAAATCTGAGCCAAAAACTGCGGCGCCTCGAGGCCGCGCTAGCTCCAGGACCACACCTGGATCGCTGAACTAAGCCCCGAGCGGTTTTTGCGCCAAGTGGCATGGCGGTCTTTGGCGTTCTGCTGCCCTTTCCAGGTGAAAAAAGGGTACCCTCAGCACAGAAAACGTCACGTAAGATCCAGAGGACCATTCCCTTGCAGAGCCCAAAGCGTTGAGTTGCGCAAATGGCACACAAAGGTGAGAAAAGTCGGAGGGTTCCCTTTGTGTTATCCTTTGAGCGCCACCCCACAGCTCACTGGAATGTGTTTTTTTCTGACCCTGGTGGATCATGGGGACTGTCCACCAGCCGCTTAGGTCATGAAAAGTCGGGGCCTTTCCGCCGGGCGAGCACAGCCCTTGGCTGCACGCATCTCCACGCACTGAAGAAGCCCAAGATCCAAGCGCCAAGCTGTCGCCACCACAAGCACACAACAGCCTTCCGGTGTTCGGAACATGTGTTGCGACCCCATCAGAACAGTGGGAAAGAGAAAGCTTAAGCCCTGTGAGTTTTTTCCGGCTTTTCTACTTTATGTTCCAGCAGCTTCTCCATGCTGTGCCACTGACTCCACTCCATCTGCTCCAGTGTAGATTGTTCTTGCCGTGCTCTTCCACAGTGGGCCAAGCTTTTGCCCAGCTGGAAAGGCTTGTATTTGCAGCCATTCAAAGTCAGAAGTGGTCTTGCCCTGGTCTGGTCTTCAGAAAGGCGTGGCTGGCATATCGGTGCAAAGACACTTGCTGCCCCGGAGAAGCTGAAGAGGCAGCTGCTTCTGATCCAGCATTTGAATCCTTCGAGGGCGTGGCTAGCTATGCAGCTCCTGATCCAGCTTTTGAATCCTTTGTAGGTGTGGCTAGCAATGCCCACGGGGTCGGGGTATCTGCTCAGTGTTGTGCAATCTCTCTCTCTCTCTCTCTCTCTCGCTAGCGTGTTTTTGCTTCTGTGCTTTGTATGTGTGCGCGAGCCATCCCGAGCCTTCAAACTGCGATGGAACAAACAATTACCAATGAACCCGCTCAAGCAAGTTAAGAAACTGCTAAGAAATTGAGGGACCCTGGAGCAAAAATATCCTTTTGCATGTTGAACTTGAAGTTAAGAATTTGAGGGTCCCTGGGTTTGGCGGGCCCGGATTCTTATGCAACGCTTGGACTGTAATGGATCATATATGAAACTTTCATCATGTGACTCGAGGTCACTCACACGCTCTCCAGCGGGCAAAACACGGGGTTTTGTTTTTGGCAGTTGGTTGCAAAGGAAACCATCCATCCAAAAATGTTGTTCGTGGCTCTGTCATGGGGCCTCACCCCAAGGATGAGGTTCTCTTGTTGGAAAGCCGCACTGCTTCCTCGGCTCGAAAACTCGGCGTCCGGCCCCCGGACGCCGGGAACAGCGCCCACGCCCAGGGCCTGCGAACGCGTACCAAGTTGAATGGAGAACCTGCAAACCTCTTAAGCTACAAATGTGAAGGAAAGAGAAGGAACTCACAAGATTGTTGGGTGACCCCCCAAAATGGCTTTCCTTTTGGAATCCGTTTCTGAAACCAGCCAAAGGGTACTGCTAACTTCTGAGACCTGACCGGAGCAGGAGCTTCGAAAGCTCCAAATGCACGCCCTGGCGCGTCTTGTCGAGCTGCGCTCGAAATGTGGGTTTCTGTTTTCTTGATTTCCCCTCAAGGCCAAAAAGGGTCCTTCCAACGCACATGGAACTTGACGAGGGGGTTCTGGAAGATCATGTTCCTCGGGTTCCATGTTTGGTGGGAGGGCACTGCCAAATCGGGGGACCTAAAATGGTGGTTTTCTTGTGGGTTGTCCTTTAAACCACCTCCCACATGCTACCCTCAAGCAAAAAGCATGATTTGTTTATGCTGGGGGTGCAATCTACCCCAGTCCAGCCCAAAGAAAAGCAACCCACCTAAAGGCTTCATGGCAATGTGGACCCTGGGTATGATACTGATTGAGCTTGTAGCGCCAACCATCTCAAGCCAGAAGCAAAGAGAACCAAAATCAAGAATGCCAACCTAAAAGATAGAATGGACTCCCAAGAAAAGCACCCTCATGGTCGCGCACCCCTACTGGAGAAAATCCATGTCGCAGTTGGGATCGGTGGTTTACCCCTAGTCAGCCGGAAGTTGTGCTGGCCGTTTTTGCCGGGCAATGCATGTCTGGGCATGACAAAGAACAAACGAACGAACGAACGAACGAACGAACGAACGAACGAACGAACGAACGAACGAACGAACGAACGAACGAACGAACGAACGAAGCAAGCAAGCAAGCAAGCAAGCAAGCAAGCAAGCAAGCAAGCAAGCAAGCAAGCAAGCAAGCAAGCAAGCAAGCAAGCAAGCAAGCAAGCAAGCAAGCAAGCAAGCAAGCAAGCAAGCAAGCAAGCAAGCAAGCAAGCAAGCAAGCAAGCAAGCAAGCAAGCAAGCAAGCAAGCAAGCAAGCAAGCAAGCAAGCAAGCAAGCAAGCAAGCAAGCAAGCAAGCAAGCAAGCAAGCAAGCAAGCAAGCAAGCAAGCAAGCAAGCAAGCAAGCAAGCAAGCAAGCAAGCAAGCAAGCAAGCAAGCAAGCAAGCAAGCAAGCAAGCAAGCAAGCAAGCAAGACAAGCAAGCCAAGCAAGCAAGCAAGCAAGGAAGGAAGGAAGGAAGGAAGGAAGGAAGGAAGGAAGAAAATAATTCGAAGGAAGAAAGGAACAAACAAACAAACAAACAAACAAACAAACAAACAAACAAATAACCAACAACCAACAACCAAAACAAACAAACCAAACCAAACCAAACCAAACCAAACCCAACCAAACCAACAAACAAACAAACAAACAAACAAACAAACAAACAACTAAACAACAAACCGCAGCCGAAACCCTCATCCCTGGGCCTGTCCAAGGCGGCTCCGGACCTTCCGAATTCTCACTCGCGAGAGCTCTTTTCGGGGCTTTGCAACATGCGACAGATCGCGGGCTTGCCCGACGTATCAAGATCGGGAGATTTGGAAACCAAAATGGCGGTTTTGTGTCTTGGTGTCCCTTTGAAACCGACCTGAAAGGCGACCCTCACATACCCCATGAGTCGTTGCCAAAATGTTTGGGGGCCCGGATGGACAAAATCCACTTCGCGCCAGTTGGGATTGGTGGGTTATCAACCAGAGCTTCCGGGGACAAGGGAACTCCCGAATGTTGTAAGCTGCCAAAAAAAAGGAAAAAATAAACTAAATGGCTTGCTGCCAGCAACAAGTTGGCTTCCTTTTGGCTTCCCGCACCAACCTAAAAGCGAATGCCGTACACTATACACACGCACATGTTGTTCTTGGTTCCTGAACCCCCTAAACAAAGAGGGAAGGGTGCCACTGAGCAACTGGGAAACGCTGCTCTTGCAATCCCACACTCATTTACCTTTTGGTTTGTAGGCCCAAAAAACAGGTAGGGGTCGAACAGCAGAGCCCCCCCGCCCCACCCCCCCCCCTCAACTTTTTGGGGACCAGTGACTGATATTCCTGTAAAGAGCCCACGGCAGCAAAGCCATCCAAAGCTTTGGGTGCCAATGGGATGCAGTGATACTTAAATGCTGCTGGTGATGCAGCATACAAGCAGAAACCCAGCTGCAAGTTTCCACTGAAGTCGTTGAAGGCAGACGCTGCCGCGCAATGACACGTATCCCAATCCACTTGCCCATAAACCCTCCAGGAATGATCCTCCACTCAAAGCAACATCCGCTTCCACGCGCGAAGCGCGTAAAGTTGGGGGTCAGACACGCGAGCATCTCAGACCCGACAGTGCGGCGCCTCGGATGTTCACCATGGGACCATGTTGCCATGCGCATAGGGCTCCCTGGGGGCGGGAGTCGTGAAGGTTCAACTAACCAACTAATGCCAGCACGGTTGAACTGTAGGTAGCTCTGTGGGCGTAGGAAATGGGTGGCTTGATCAGTGGTAGGGAGCTGCCAGAACCGTCGCTAGTGTCCAAGTCTACATGGGTTCTCAAACATATTCGATGCCCAGTGACCATGGGAAAAAAGGGCATCCTTTTTTGGTTGGTTGAGTTTACAGGGGAACCGTTCCAAACAAAAAATGGAAAAAGGGCGCCACTGGGCAACTGGGTAAACCACGCCCCAAACTAATCTTTGATAACCCCCCCACCTGGTGCCCTCCCCTTTCGCCTGCGCCGCCTTCCGCTCGGAAGCCTTCTCCTCGCGGCCTGCGGCTTCGCCCCGGAGATGCGGAGGGAGGGGTTTGATGTTTTGCCAGGGAAGAGGCTGCCACTAAAATCCCAAAGATTTGAGACAGGGGAAGAAAGTGGAGAAAACCCTGATATCCTTTAAGAAAATCCTGGGTAGATCCTTTCTGATCCTTTTCCTGAGCCTAAGATTGGATTGGGAAAACGGCTCTTTTGGCTTGTCAACACAACATGTCGAAGGAACGGAAAACCGACTGCAACCTCACCTTCAGATTTACCCCCCCCCAAAAAAAAAAAAGAAAAGCGAGGGGATTGCTCCAATGGCCTTTGAGTGTCGGGCCGTATTTCTCAAGGCAGGATTGCCTTTGAAGAAACTAACATGGAACCTGAAGCATGGGACTTGGTGGCTTCCATGGCAGCGATTATTATTTTTTCGGGAGAAGGGGAGTGGGTGGACCAAACGTCGCCCGTCTTTGGCAAAAGTGATCTCTTGAATTGAATGAGCCCAGAAATATGAGAAAAACCAATTGAAACACAAATGGAGAGGGAGTCGTCATGGGTCCTTCATAGAACCCCGAGCTGAAAGAGCAGAAAAGGCTGCGAAGTGGGTGGGGTTTTCAGGGAAACCGTAGTTTTGTCAACCAGCACCCCTCTAGCGTTTTGTCCAGCGCCAAGCTCAAGAGGACTTGCCAACTGCCTTCCACAAAACAACCAGACTCTGTGACTCTAGACCTTGGTTTCAAACGCCTGTCGTCCGCGGCGCCATTGATTGATTGATTGATCCTCTCCTAACCGGACGCAGTTTGTCGCAAGGGCTGTGACAATCGCTGGTAAGCAATCTTATCGGAGACGTGAGGCTTCACCTCGACTTTTCCAACCGCTGTCCAAAACCCAACGGTCTGGCCCAACCCTTCTCCACCGACCGCCATCCAAGCCACGCTCAAACTTGCGTGTACCCAAGAGAACATGGGAAATACAGGACGCACCAAATATTGCAAACCGTTAAATCGATGTAGGGAAATATGTTGTAAATCCCTGGAGGTTTAGAGCTCATCCCCGTATCCCTCATAGAACCATAGACCAGGGCCAAGGTCCAACGTTATACATTCAGGCCAGCTAGAACATCACCAGATGTAGAGGATCCGATACAAGGCCGTTTTTGGGTTGTGTCGACCGAACCTCTCGAGTCCTTTCGAGTCGCGCAAGCGCGCCTTCAATATGCCCCTCCTCCTTGTTCCAGCAAGGGCTGGGCTCCGGAATGTCCTCCAACCCCCCCCCCCCCCCTGCGGGGTTGCTCGCGCCCTGGGAAACCAGAACTGGTCCTCTGGTAGAGAGGTTAGAATTTGGGTACCCGAGTTTTTTTTCGGTAGTCTATTTTAGTAGGGGAACCCTCCCCCAAAAAAGGGGTCAAAGGGCACTACTGGGGGACCTAGAGACGAAACCAAAGGAAACCAACCGGTGGCCCTTGTCGTTTGGTCAGGGGTCGGAGCAAATTTGGCAGAGTCGGCGCAGAGTCGGCGACCTCAGCCACGGTCTTCCGTGGCTATGTCCCTTTGGAAACATCACCCTGGCGAAGAGAAACGCAGTTGAAATTGGCCCAACATGTCATGTTGTTTGTCCACCCAAAGGGATGGGTCTATTTGTCTCTACACAAACATATAACAATCAACATGCATGTACACAAAACTTGTGAGCGACTCTTCTTGAAAACTTAATCTGGAAACGTGGATGGGGTTTGGGCATGGGACAAAGAGCCAAGCAGTGGTAACTTCGGAATAATTCGAGGGGACCGTGCTGACGGGCAGGATGTTAGTTTTGAAGTGGGAATTGGAAGATCTCGCTGAGGTTGACATTAGCCATGTACAACTGATCATTCCAACAATAATGCCCAATAGACAATTCAGTGTGTTACATAGAATTCCTGTGGTCATATTATATATTTTACGATGTATTAGGTATTACATGTTCATGATGTTGAATATGAAAGATGATGACAGATTCCCACCTGGCCAATTTGAAGGTCTCTCATCCACATGGACAGTCCGCAACCAGGCTCCTGTGCAACTGCTTTCACGTAGCAGTCGTCCGGTTCAAACATGTCCTTGCGAAGGGCAGAGGGGAACACACCCTCCGGCGGCTGGTCTCAAAATGATGAATCTGCCAAACTGGTTGCTGTTTTTAGCGTCCCTTCACAGGATCCCCAAAACAGATCCATTTCAGCGGGGTCGGGATCCGGAGAAAGTGACAAAGTAGCTTATTGAACTGTAGTGATTCCCCCATGTGCCTCCCAAAATGACCAAACACTGTTGGGAAGCTTGCACAACTCACTTGCTCAAGGTTTGAAACCTTTGGAAGGGAGTCCAGAAAGGATTTGTTTAGGACGCCAAGTTTTTGTTTGGACGCCAAGGCCTTCTTGCCCCCAGGCATGTGGATGATGCCGGTCATATGGCTAGATTTCAGAGTCTAAATAATGATCATCTTTCAAAAAAGAAAAAGAACTCTGGTAAATCACAACCCGAATCCAGGGTCCCAACTGCGCATCGAGAAGAGCCTTTGAAACCTTCTGCTCGGAAAGAGGAGATCAGACCTATGAGGGGTACAAAGGATGCCAGGCGTGGGCCGTGTGGGTTGCCTGCACCAATGGGCCGTGACTTTGACCCACCGAAAAAAAGCGAGGCGAAGGGGGTCCACGCCCAAATAAGACACATTTCAGGGATCCACATGCCTTTTTGGAGCACGCGGGTGGTTTAACCATACCATTTCGGGAGGTGTACCCATTTGCAGAACCTATGTCACATGGCCGTCTTTTTGATGGTACCCCTTTTGGGTGGGGGATCACCATGGACCCATCCTGAGATCGGAGCTGCTTCCTGCACCTTTTCACGGCTAGGACTATCCCCTACCGAACTTCATTTCACTTAACCAAAGAACCTGGAAAAAAAATTAACCTTTGGGGGCCGTGACTAAAATAAATAGACCCAGCATGGGAAAACCAAAAGGTGAAAAGGTTTAAGGGACATGAAAGGTTTAGCATTTTGGGATGACTAAAAGTAGTCCAAACAGGAGAAGGTCGGCTTTGGGGGGTACCGTGTACCATCTGCCGGGCGGTTCAAAACATTTTGGGGGCGATCACCCAAAACAAACCCACACTCCGCACCGGTCATTTGTTGGGTGTTCGGCCCAGCAAGCGAGGGGAACACCCCCTATTCCACAAGTTTCTGCTTTCCAGCGTCGACAACCCACTGACTGCCAGCAAAGGTTCACCCTGTTTTCTACTTCAAAAGTGCAACCAGGGCAAGCTCCAGGCGGACTTTGTCGGCAGGTTACTCATTCCCCCAACCAATCAACCGAAACAAACACACTCAGGTCTTGCAGTGCAGGAAAAGCGTTCCAGGCTCCCTCAGGTTCCATGCGCTAACCTGACCGGCAGCCAGTGCCGGGAAGTCTGGGCCCATTTGAGTGCTCCAGGGCGCCAGCGCCGGCCTTAAAGGGAAACCAGCGGGGAACGCAACTCGGGACCCAAGCGCTCGCTCCGCTCGCTCGGTCCTCGTAGCCAGGGCACTGCAAGTACCAAAGCACGCGGCGCGCGGAGTCTTCGTAGGCCGCCTGGCCGCCCCTAAGGTTCGAGGCTCGTTGATTCGATGGCCCGTTTGGTCAGCTTTCCACCAGTTGGTTTGGAGTGGTTTGGAGTGGTTTGGAGTGGTTTGGAGTGGTTTGGAGTGGTTTGGAGTGGTTTGGAGTGGTTTGGAGTGGTTTGGAGTGGTTTGGAGTGGTTTGGAGTGGTGGTTTGGTCCAACTGGTGATTTGGTGGTTTGGTCCAACTGGTGATTTGGTGCTTTGGCGGTTTGGTGGCGGTTTCCCATTTACCCACAAGAAGCAGGGCTTCCAATACCAACACGAGCTTCCGCACGCAGGTCGAAGGGAGCTCACCGCATTGCCCTGTCCACCCGTCAACGCCATCCGCACTGCCGCAGCGCGTGGGGTTTGGCCCGTCTCATGGCCGAAGCCGCCGATCCCCGTCGAGCACCTGGCCCTTGGTGCGTCTGCGTCTGCGTCAGCTTCTAGCCCAAGCCAAGGGATTTCCCATTTTTTTGGAGGACTTCCCTGATCATGGAAGCTGACCAGAGGGTTTTGGGGGAAGCCCTACCCCAAACATGCCAGATGCCAAAGTCTTTGGGGGTCTGGTCAGCACCTGAGCGTGGCTAGAGGTAAAAAGAAAGTTGGGAAACCGGAATTTGTAAGATCTACGCAAAAATGCAAGTGGGTACTGGACGCCTCACTTAACCGGAAGCGGAAACCAAAAGCTCAAAGGTCTTGGACAATCGGGACAATTGGGGCAATCGAGAAATTTGAACAACACTCAAACCCATTCACAAAGGCTTGTGTAGGCCTTACGACAACCCCATAAAAGCAGGTAGCGGAACCACCTACATAACTGGCCTGTAAGGATGTTGGGCGCCAGATTTTAACCATCGGTGCAATTGAGTGGGCACACTCCATCGTGATTTCTACGGAGTGTCGCTATGGGGATCCGCTTTTGTGAATCACACCCTTCTACAGCTTGTTGCCCATACTGATGATATCTGCTGATGTGCAATCGATCCGGGTGAAACCCGCCTCGTCTTGACTGTAGCACCGTTTGCACGGGGCGGAACATGGGCTCGGGTCCGCAAAGCCATGAAACCATCTCAATCTCTACTTGCGCGAAAGGCATTCAATCAAAGTTAAGCCTTTGTGGCCAAAACTAGAATATCGCCCAAATGACCTCCTGAGACATGAATGACTCTCCTTATGGCCAGTGTCATTTCAGATGTTAAGTTGGGTGCCTTAGCACAAATTGAGAATCGGGAATTTCTATGACTTGCTGGTGCTCAGCAGGGAATGAGTTGGAATGATCCCTATAAACCATCCAGCTGGTGGTTTCCTTTCAGGTGACCAAAGCCTGGGTTCATTCCATTTCTCCTTCCCTACTTCTCGCACCAGCCAGATGAAAAGAGCCTTCATCCTGAGAGTCGAGCCCCCAAAACACGGCGAGCTTGCCAGTTTTGGCCCAGAACATAAATTCGATCGACGCCTATTGGCCGATGGATTGCGGCTGGTTCAAGTGGTGGTCAATGGTAAGATGACGTCCAAGGAGGATCACAATCTCCTTAGTAAAATAAACATCCAGTTCAACACATGATTTGTCTATTTTTATAAGTTTCAATAAATATATCCGTGTTTTCGTCAATCTAGTATGACTCAACAATCCGTTGAGGCTAAGGCAAACGCCCCAGCAAATCTCTCCCTTCTCCCCTGAGGGAAAAAAAACTCATTACGAGCCTCGAGGGTCGGCTGCTTCCTGCCAGGAAAAGTGTGAGGCACCTGGCCAAGCGGAAAGCTCCGGCCGAGCGTCGTTCCACGCGTCCATGCCGCCCCCCTCCCCCCGCGGGATGTGTGGCAATGCGCGAAGATGTCGAGATGGGTTCTGATTTTTTTCAGCCATCACCTCTTTTTTCGGAACACCTGAACTGGACTTCTATGGATTGGCCCGCTCGCGAACCGCCAGATAGATGGAGTCCCCTAGTCTTGTTCCCGTGAAGCATCTCCTGGTGGAAGCCGAAGCCAATCAGGCATAGGTGTCCTTTTAGAGGAAATAGATGGGTTTCCCTGGTAGATGATTGAACCACCAGGTAAACCAGGAATCGCCAGGCTATTTTCCTACCAAAACAACCAAAAAGGACACCTATGCAAACAGGCCGGCGCAGCTTCCAGCAGACGCACTTCGGCAAAGGCTTGATACTCACCGTCCTCGCACCTGGCGGTTCTTTCAGCCACTCCCTTTCTCGTAGCCGGGGGCAGAGGCCCAGTAGAAGCCCTGCCCTGAAACTAGGTCCTCCAGTTTTGCGAGGTTAGAAGAGCACCAACTTTTTCCTGTAGTCTATTTTAGTAGATCCCTCCCCCAAAAAAAAAACGGTAAAAAGGAAAGAAACCCGAAAAAGAGTAGGAGGAAAGGAACCCCGCCCCGCGCAAGGTGGGTGGGACCATCGCCCACGCACCTGCAGCCGTCTCACTGCCCAGGGGTCTCACTGCCCAGGGGTGTTGCTTGGGGAAAAGCGAAGCTTCACAGCCTTTATGTTGGTGACCTCGAAGGGCCGAAGAAGTTTTGCAACAACTTGCCGGGGGCCACAAAATGCGCTTTCGTGGCTCTTGCAGACTGTACAACTTGCCACGAACAGTCAAGCATGCCCAGTCAAACAGATTTCAGATGTTGCCTTACTTGCTCCAATGCCCTGGAACCATGTAATATAAAGTCATATATATATATATATATATGCATTTATACAGATACACATATACACGTATACACGTATACATGTATACACATATACACATATACACATATACACATATACATGTATTCATATATGCATGTATACATCTGTACATGTAAACATATACACATGTACACATATACACATATACACATGTACACATGTATACATGTATACATGCATGCATCTATGCTTATATACATATCTACACGTTTGGAACCCAAAACTGCTTGAAGAATGTGCTGTGAGCAGTTCTTTTGCGCATCTGTCGCGTGGGGCGGGGAAGGTGGCCGGCCTCAAAGCGGCCGGCCCAGTTGCACTGGTTGACCCTCTAAATCTCCCAGAGAGCAAAAGAAGCGTCTCGTCTGTTCCAGATGGGTCCCTCTAGATTCAACACCATTTGAGTCGCAATCAACACCTGGCATCGAAGCGGTCTACCCAGCTCCATACAAAGACCTTAAAGGACGGCTGCGCCTATGGCTGGGATTGCCCCTTGCAAACCTTCGCTTACCCAGTTCCGGTCGCGGCTCAAGGGAGTTCCATTACAGCGTTCAGAGTAGTTTGCCTGACTCCCATTCTAAAATGGGTATGGGTCAAAAATAGGCACCCAAAATCGAACCCTGGTAAATGGAAACATAGACTAAAACTCTGCGGTCCCCTGGTGGTTTAATTTTGACTCACACCCAAATGAGTCGATGAGCAGCTGTACCAAGGTGCGGCTGATGACTCCACGACCCTCTTTGGGCCTTGCCTTTGTGCACGGCTGGCCAATCCGCCAGCTGCAGCTTTGACATGAACGCCAACCCCAAAATCAAGTATTGGCCGACCTTCAGGAAGCGTGGATGGTCGCGACCCTCCCCTTTCGGAATCGCCACCGAAATCCAAAAAAACAAGTTCCATGGAATGAATTGCACCTCAACGGAAAGTTGACCCTAACAGACCTTTTGTCGTTTCCCCACAAAAATTCCGCCATCTTTAGGGACCTGCGGAGAAAGAACAAAAACACATGCGACCATAGATGCCCTTTTTGGGGAAATAGATGGCCCTGGTGGATGATTCAACCAGCCAAGCAGACCAGGAATCGCCATAATTTTCTACCAAAACTACTGCATGCGACCGCAGGGGGCGGAACCCGCCTGTGGCTCCAACTCACCGGGGCGTCGCCATGCGACCTGGGCGAAAGCCGAGCAAAGCGCGAAGACGATACCCATGGGCGAAGATGGAGCGAAAAATCTGGCCAGTGATCGATGCCCTTGAAAGCCAACAGGGGAAATAAATAAACAAATAAATAACTAGTCATTGTTTTGTCTTTTGTTAATAAAACTTTATTTGTTGATTGAAAAAAAAAGAATAAACAAACAATCAGAAGAGCTTGACCAAATGGCAGTTGTTTTGGGCCACAACGTGCGGCATACTTCGGGAGATGTTCGGAACAAAAAAAACTCTTTGAGCCCAAACATTTCTTCCAAGGAGAGAGTTTTAAACAAATGGGCCACCCCCCGGTCCATACAAAGGTCCGGGACCCCCTTTGCGGCCGCCAGATGCCTGAGCCTCAACCAAAATATCTGTCGATTCGCGGGCGAAATCAGATCTGACATAGGAACCTGCGTCTTGCTCGAGTCTCTTGACTCTTGACCTAACTTGAGTCGCTGCTTTGGACGGTTTGAAGGGAAACCAAAACAAAACCTTTTGTGGACAAGCCGAGATGACAGAAGAGACATGGGAGGACACTCCTACGCGCGCGCCGGCAGAACGGACATATACATAACTTGCTGGGTCATCCCCTACGAACTTGTGGTGTGCTTTAAGGGGTTCACTCCCAAATTCCTTGAAATGTCCTAAGACTCAGCAAGACAAATGGGTCAGTGGCACAAAGGATTGCGGATTACCTCCATCCACGAAACGCACTCCTTCATCGTTTCAGGCGAGTCGCCCTACGTCGACTTCCCTTCAGGTGTCCCCATCTCTCCCTGTTAAGCATCATCTGGCCCTAAAAGGGACTGCAGGGGGGCGCAGTGGGTGAGGGTAGGGACCATTTAGGTGGGGATGTGTGTCCACCAACCGTCCAGCAACACGAGGTCCGTCGCTTGAGGAACCGGGGGGGGGGGATCGCTAACGTCAGGACACTCCACGTATGCAAATTCACCCTCCTTGAAATTACCCACCAAATAGGTCGGACGTTGGTATATATTACCTACATTCGGCTTGGGGAAAGAAAAACAGAAGGGAACTCAATTGGAGTTGGAGGGGTTGGCCATGCGGCCGCCACTCCAAATGTAACGACTCCACCTGAGCCTCAATCAAAATCAAAGCAATCTAGCCAAAAGTCATGCAAATCAAGAGCAGGAAGCTCTCTGCAACCCTGGCAACTTGCGCGCTTCTCATAGGGTGGGCCATGGAAGAAATCTTCCAGCGGACCTTCCGCTTCCCCACTTCCCCCCCCCCCCGGCAGCTGGGAGGTCTGGCTTGCAAGCAGATACGCTTCTGCTGAACTTCTCGAGGAGCTCCACCTGATCCATCGGTCCCAAGAAACGCGCGCGCCAAGCGGGCCGTAGGGAAACCGAATACCCTGGTCAGCCATTGGCTTTCTCGCCCCCTGTAAAACACGAGAAAGTATTTCCCTTTAAGAGCCAACAGGGGAAAATAAAAACAAATAAAAGAATATTCTTGAGCGAGAGAAAGAAATCCCCTCTCTTGAACGCCAAGGGGATAGCCAACCAATTATGGGGAGAAAAGGTAGATTCCAGGGGGAGGGACGGGGAGTTGGAGGGGGGGAGTTGGGCAATACCCCTTGAGCTAGTGAGTCTTTCGTTTTCTGGGTGAAACAGACAGGGTACACATCACCTCCCCCAAAAAACACTCACCATAAATGAGCCCAAATAGGTGATGTTTAAAACCGCGGTCCTTTCGAGACTACCCCCATCGTCGAGAAATGTAGGGACCCACCACAGCTTCAGCTCTCGCGCGGAAGTTGCCGTGGATCGCCTGTGAGCGAAGGCCTCGCTGGCTGAATTTGAGCTTCGTGGCCAGAAAACCCATGTCGCCGAGAAAAAGTTCGGGAGAGTTTCGCCCTGTTTTTATGCGTTGAATTGCCCTTCAGGAAGTGCAGCAAGTCGTGAGCCACGTGGAGAGTGGTCACCAGCACCAGGAGCGATAGAGGCAAGGCGTGATGAGCGCCAACCAGATTTTGCCAGTCTGTGTTTCAAGAAAAAAACAAGAGGAAAACCGTCGCCTTCCCAGGTTTAGATGTGCTTTCATGTTTAAACCGTGGCTTAATCCACCATGGTCTAAACCGCCTTTTGGCTTCCCTTTAACTAGGTGTCCTGAAACTGAACAGGTGCCAAGCAATGAATCAGGAAAGTGGCCTGATGGCTTCAACCCAGTGCCCTGCCTTAAGCAGCTCAGGCGACCTTTAGTGTTGGTTAGATGAATTCCGCTGGTCTCAATGTGGAATGGCTTACCAAAATTTGCCTCTTTGGCTGCTGTTCCATGTGTTTACCAACCTAACTGCTTGAGCCTTTTTACAAACAAACAAAAAGGAAACCAACTGGTTTTCCCTCAAAAGGACCTAGGTTGGTGTATGATGACACTTTGCGCGCTGAGCCCTACTCCGTTGATTTAGGCAAGCCTTTGCAGGGGCAAAATGTCGGATGCGAGTGACTTACCCCCCTCCAGGAATCTACAAAAAAAGAAAGAAGGCTAACAGGAGCGTTTTGGAAAACTGAGCTTCTTTTGGGCTCACCACTTGCCGCGCCTTCAGGACAGCCCTCCGAGTCCCCGGCCGCGTCCAAGTTTGGTCCGCGGCTGGGCTCTTGACCACCCAAGATCCCCAGTCGCACTTTGGACGTGGTGTAATTACCTCCAAAGGGTGTGGTTTTCTGCTACAGGACTGGAGTTAGTCCCTCTGATGTACCCAACTCTTTGCAAATACCGACTATCTGCATGTGTTTTCGCCTCATGTTGATCCTCTTTGCCAAATCAGTTGACGAGGTATGGTCGAGAAGGACACCCTTTTCGCCATTGATAATTTTCAGCGGGATTCATGGACACTAGCCACTTTTGAGAGGCTCCCCATAAAATTCCTGGGCTAGCAATTCGATCCCTTCTCAGGGTTGCTAAACCCGATCGGATGTAGAAAACTAGAATGTGGGATACCATCTTGCAGCAAGGTACCTCGGTACCTCATGAGAAAAATCATGTGTACAACAACTTGCCGATTCTCAGGGAATCAGACATCGAATGAACCATCCGACTTGTGGTTTCAGGGAGTCTTCGGCTTCCTTCCCGCAACCCGGACTAAATTCCCTGACATTTGAAAAATGTTTGGTGTCACTCTTCCACCCAAAGAAACCAGTGGACAAAAAAGCTGTGGTGATGTGGAGTCCATTGGACACCAACAAGGGAAACATACTTGGTGGTGCTCCGCAGGGAATGAGGGAATGAGGCAAAGCCTCAGTCCCTACTGACCACCAGCAAAAATATTCTGAACTTCCATTTGCTTAAGCCCCCTGGAAAAACACATGAAAATATGTCCAGTAGTGATAGATTCCCTTTAAAACCAAGATATGAAAATTAAATATGTTCTTAAGCAAATGGGAGCTAAGCAAATGTAAGGAGGCACAAAAACTCTGCACCCTGCACCCTCCCGCGCGCGACGCGACGGAGCGGAGCTCGGTGGCCTCGCTGCGCGCCTGGGGGACGGCCTCTTTGCCCCGCGTGCCTGTGGCTCCGCGGGGATCGCGGGCGTTTCGGGGGGCCATTTTTGGGGGGGAGCGAGAGGTGGGGAACGGCCGGAGAGGGCGTGAGGGGTGGAGAGGGGTGGGCTTTCGGGGGTGAAAAGGTAGGGTTTTTTGGGGAGGGGAGGGGAGGGGAGAGGGGAGGGGAGGGGAGGGGAGGGGAGGGGAGGGGAGGGGGAGGGGAGGGGAGGGGAGGGGAGGGGAGGGAGGGGAGGGGGAGGGGAGGGGAGGGGAGGGGAGGGGGAGGGGAGGGGAGGGGAGGGGAGGGAGGGGAGGGGAGGGGAGGGGAGGGGAGGGGAGGGGAGGGGAGGGGAGGGGAGGGGAGGGGAGGGGAGGGGAGGGGAGGGGCCCCAAAGTGGGTGCAAAACAGGCGAGTTTCTCGCTGCCCCAACCCAACCACCCACAACAAAAAAAAATGGATGCCTTTGAGTGTATACATGTCGCAAATGATTGGACATATACAACGTTTCGCCAGGAAGGCAGTTGTCATCCGAGCTCACAATAGGGTGAAGTCAAAGATGGATTTCGGGTCTCCTTTGTTTTCCTCTCAAACCACCCCAAAATGCGGCGTGCCTCAAAAAATTGCACCCACATGACGGCCTGGGCTGTGCACACTGTGCATGGCAGGAGACTAGGATTCCAAAATCACCCCTAAGCTGTGACACTTAACACAACCAAGACTTCAACGGGTGGGATGGACTCCACGGCCAGATCCCCAAGAGTGCTTGCCCCGTGCTTGCACTTGTCTAAACCAATACCACTTGAAGGTGAAGACCTTGCTGTTTAATCTTCGGCGTGGGCACCTCAGAGTGGGCACCTCTCACCTCAATTCTGAGGTGCACAACTGGCGGTTCGCCCCCGGATTCCCTCCGAGCCGGCCTACTTGAGGCAAAATGCTTGAGTGGTTAGTACCCTTGTAGCCCGAGGTCTTTTGGGCCCCTTGCGGACGGTTGAACGGAAACCATCCGGAAAGCAACCTGTTTCTGGGCCCCCCTTTTTGGAAACACTCACCTGTAAGTCCGCTAATTGGGTTGGTCAGAGTCAATGTCAGCCACAGAGTAGTCGGCCCGTCGGACTTATCTGGGGCACTTCCCCGCAAGAAATGAAGGACCTCCTCAACAAGGCCCTTAACTTGCCGGTTCTCACACGGAATCTGAGGTAACATAACCTTCAATCAGCTTCCCTAACTGGTGGTTTTGATGGGTGGTTTGGAGCTTTGGAGTGGTTCAACCAAAAACCCTCCGCAAGAACCAGGTCAAACCCCCAAACCAACCAAGAAAAGGACACCTGTTGATAACCACAAATTTGGCATCAGTACTTGGGTATTGAATACAACAACAGTTTGATTAAATATCTCTTGGCTTCTGTTTTATCAAGTTTCGTTCAATCAATAAACATGACACAGATGGTGATGGTCAAATCAACTTTCTTCAATGTTCGTCGATTCTGGCGCCTGCGAGCTCGTCCAATGTGATGAGCGAGGCCCAGCGGGTCACGAAGAGGCCCAGCGTCTCGGCGTCGGGCGCGTCGATGCGAGCCGCATGGTGGGAACCCTCCCCCCCCCCGCCAAGGGAGGCTCGGATGCCCCAGTGGATTTTTGAGGGGAAGAAAGGGTGCATCCTTATTCCTGGGTTGCTGGAATGACCCCCCCGGCAAAAAGTGTTGAACCAAGGGAAGGAAATGGCTGTGGCTCAAAACCATGGAGACCAAAATGCCCCCTTGGTAAATGGAACCAGAGGCTAAAACCTGCGCAACCCTACCTCTTAGTTTTTGAGCCACAACTAGGGGAAGCTCGGAGGCCCCAGTAGATTTCCCATGGGATAAAAAGGAGGCATCCTTATTCCTGGGTTTGCTGGAACGACCCCCCTGCAAAAAGTGTTGAACTTTTTTGGGGGGGGGTAGTGGAAACCCAACTTTGATTGCAACCAAAAAGTTAAAGTCTAAAGATCCAACCCAATATTTTTGGGTGGTTCAGTTTAAAGGCAACCCTTCCCAAAAAATAGAAGGCGCCACAGGGCAACTGGGGAAGGAACTAGCGGCTGGTGATTGATTTTGAATTAGAGAAAACAGGCGGCCTCGCTAGGACATGAGTCGCAAACAATCCAATACTTTTCCTTGCCAAAAGCTTGCGGGAAAGATTGGGTTGCCCCCCCATTCCGCCCCCTTAGGTTCTCCCAAACTTGCGACATGGTACCAGCCATTTCCCTGGGCCAGAATTAAACAACAGTTTGCTGGTTGAAAGGGCAAATTAATGCACCAGCTAAAGGGAAAGCCAATAGTGAAAGGCATAAAACCCAATAATTTCATGGTTGAAAAGGAAAACCAATAGTGAAAAGGGTGAGCTAAGTCATGGATTCGCATCACTGGGCCCCGAAGCGCGCTCAGCAGCATCACGCTGCGCCAGCTTCTTGTTACTTCGCCAAGCCTCAGCCGGGAAAAAATGGCCGGGTGTGTGAGCTTCCATTTAGAGCAGTTTGACGATCAACTCGACCCTTCGAGCCCTGAGAAGAAAAAGAGCCAAAGAAAGGGGGACAAAGAGGGGGACAGAGAGAAAGAGAAAGAGAGAGAGAGAGAAACAAAAAACCAGGGGACAAGAAACACAGAAATACAAACAAAAAGAGAGAGGAAAAAAAAGAGAGCGAGAGAGAAGGGTAGAGAAAGAGAGATAGAGAGGAAAAAGAAGAGATGCATGCATGCATGCATGCATGCATGCAGGCAGGCAGGCAGGCAGGCAGGCTTGCAAGCAGGCAGGCAGGCAAGCAAGCAGGCAGGCAGGCAAGCAAGCAGGCAGGCAAACAGGCAGGCAGGCAGGCAGGCATCAAGGGAAGGACCTAAGGAGGGATGGATGGATGCATGGATGGATACGGATGGATATGAATGATATGAATGGATACGGATGGATACGGATGGATACGGATGGATACAGAAGGATGCGGACGGATGCGGACGGATGAGGGGGATCGCGAGACTGAGAGACATCCAAAAGTGACCGAGCGGCTTTGGGTGTGGCTCCAAAAGTAGGGCCTGGAAAGTCCTGTCTGCCGAGGGGAACAATTGAATTGCAACAAGGAGACTTGGATGCAGCACGAGACGAGCCACGATACTTTTTACTTGCACTTGGTTCAATCGGGTAGGCCCCTCTATTTAATGTGCGAAAATAAGGTATCTTGGATATATAGCCCCCCCCCCCCCCCCGGCATCTCGAAATAAGCAACAAACTACCAGTAATATTGTTCGTTGCTCATATGGGGATTGATCAAAAGGTCCTTCACATGGGATGACCATTGAAGGAAACCACTACAACAACGATATTTCCCACTCAATGGGAGAAGTCTCCCATGGTCATTTTGGGGGCCAGGAATATTAGTCAACCCCCATATATGGGGGTTGGTGACTTGACCAACCGATTGAACTCTCTGGATAGGTCTGACTTTGTCCCATAGGTCTGACTTCCATCTTACAGGGTGTCCGGGACCATTTCCCTTTTTGGAACCGCCACACATGTTGCAGTTTCAAGGGAAACCACCAAAGCAATGCGACTTTTGAAGGGCAATCCAGTGACCCCTCTTTTGACCTCATAAAACGAAGATAGATCTTGATGGGAGGGTGCCCTCTTTTAGTGGCACCGTCCCCAGTCCGCTAGCCCCTCGCTCGGCTGCCCCGGCGCCCACGGTGTGGTGGGCGACCCCATCCAGCAGGAAGGAGCAGGTGGCGCAGAACTCCGAGCTGTTGCCAACCTGGAAATCTGCGGGTCGTGTGTCGTTGTTACATTGTTGCACCCGAAAGTGACCCTTTGGGCAAAGACCAGTCCCACCTGGAGTTTTTGGTGGCACACATGGAGGAGGAAAGCAAAGCATGTACAGAAGCGCCACTGTGTTTTTGAGACTCGGCACCCTCTTGGTGGTTGTTTTAAAGGGAAACCAAAAGGGAACCGCTGCCATATGTTTTGAAGTAAACCCACCTCAACACGAGTATCTCCTTTTGTTTATAGATCCGTGTCAGCAATGTTAGCAGCCGAAACGGTCGCAGCCCCCAACTCGGGAACTCAGGAACAACGAGTTGACATTTGGCTGTGGCTCAAAAAGCCGGTGCTAAAATGGAACCCTGGTAAGTGGACACATGGACCAAAACCTTCGTAACCCCTGCTGAATTTTGAGCCACGCCCATTTTTCAGGGTCTTCAAGTCAGGTCCCTTGGTACCCCTTTGCGATCCGAAGCCCCTGGCTCCGAAAGCTCGCCTGGATGCCAGAAAGGAATCAGCTTGGATGCGATTTCCGAGCTGGGAGCCGATGTGTCCGGATTTTGGGGGACCCGGACGCCCAACCGCAATGGTCAGTTGGAACCTCCACTTTTCTAAAGAAGAAAGACATGGCAAACAAGAGGTCCGGAAAAATGGAGAGGGTCAAACAGTTCGGGATGGTGTAATACTGAAATAGGAAACCTGTCCAAGGCAGGTCCTTTTCAAATCCTTTTTTTGCTAACAAGCTTGCATACCTCCAAGGCTGATTATGACAGCATCTCACCTCAGGAAAAGTTTGGGCTCCATGTGGGTGTGACTTTTTAGGGTCCCCCAAGAATGGTTCTTTTCATTTTGGCTTTCCCTTTAAAACCAACCTAACATGACCCTCAAGAAAACAGACACACCCATCTGCACATGTTGCTATAATTCCGAAACCTTTTTCTCAGGGATCGCCAAGTAAAGGATACCTTTGCCATGGTGAGCTCGCTCGGTTTGCCCCCGAATCGGTGAGCTCGCCACCAAGCATGCAATGTCGGACAAATCCAAAAATTCTCCATCCATCAGAGGCCCAAAGCGCAACCCGGCCCGAAAGCGCCTCACGCGTCTCATAGGCCCACCTGGCGCGTCTCAGAGGCTGGCCACTGATGGAATGTCCCGGCCTAAAAGGACGCTCTCAAAGAAGTGCTCGCGCCATTTTCCCGGACTCGGGAATGATGAATTTCCACACTTGGAACGCCTGAGAAAAAAAAAGTCCTTTGACTGGGTCACAAGCTTGGGAGAAGCGCCCAAGACCTCCAATCTCCATCAGCTACCCGCGACTCACGCAGGCGAATCACCGCACGCCGGTGCCACCAAGCCCTAAGGTTCAGTCGGTGTCCTTCGGCTCATTCGGTGCCCTTTGGTTCGAGCGTATGCCTGCGCAAAGCACCTTGTCACTGGTTCTGGAACACTCCGCACACAGAAAGTCTGAAAACTGAATACCCCAATTTGCTGGTCGTACTACAACGATTCTTCTTGGGACGCCAGTGGGGCAAGCTCGAAGCCGCCAGCTACCCATACTTAAACAACGCAACTCAGGAGAACGGCCCTTTCAACGAAAAGCTGTCCACCGACATGCGGGTCTGTCTCAACAATGGGGAGACCTCTCTGAGAATGGGTGAGTTTCCTCCCCGGCTTCCCCTTAGATAAACCCGACAAGGGTTTATGCTCCCGCACCACAATCCCCCCCCCCAAAAAAAAACGACCCACCCATCTTCCGACCGAACAATTCGCCGAGGAGCTGCAGCACGGGACAGTTGGGCGGCATCGGAAAGAGCTTCGCCCCCTGCACGAACCTGGCGCGAAGTTGCCCATTTTCCCTTGTGCCACAAAAGCCAAACAAACAAAAACAACAACAAAAACGTGTAGGTAACCAAGGGAATCCCCCTATTAAAGCCAAAGAAACAAATTGCTGGTGACCTAGATTCGTCGGCAACCGCGATCAACTGGGCAGGTCGCTGCTTTCACTCCCAAATGCCTGAAGAGACCTTTCCGAAGGGTTCTGATTTTTTGGGTTTCCGAAGCTTTGCTTCCTATGTCTGCATTGGCTTGATGGGCCTTGATGCCAAACCGCACAAGTACAGATTCTCCTGGACAACCCCCCCCCCCCGCCCCTCCACCGTTCCCCGAAAGCGACATGCCGGGCGAGCTCCTGCAATTGCGAGATGGAGCCTTTGCTGAGGCCTCGGCCGCCCATGATCGGCCGGCAGGAACTGTGGCGTTCAGAAACCGCACCACATATCGCCATGGTTCAAAACTAATGGGATCCCATTTTGGGATAGGTGCACCACCCATTTTAGAACCTATTTTAGTGGGGATTGGGATGCACTTGGGGTACGGGGTTTTGACCCATGGCCATATGAAGATGCAAAGCCTCTGTAGCATATGATGCCTGCAAATGAAACAAGCACAAGCCTCTTAGTGGCTGCACTGGGAAGGAGAAACACTTGGCAACTCCGGCACTTGTGGGACTCTGTAGCGGGCCTGTCAGACACAAATGGGCTTTTGCTCCTTGAGTCATTGAGGGCACCTCATTTTTGGCTGGTTTACAAGAAAACCACTAGAACAGTCACAACTTTTGGGATCGCCCTCCCCCCGTCCCCCCCCCAAAAAAAAAAAAACGAGAAAAAGAAAAGAGCAAGCCTTTGGCCTGACAAAGCTCTGGGGGTCCATGTCGCGTGGAACTGCAAGGACCCCACACCTCGGGCCGCGGCTCTCTGAGCACGGGGAGCTGCCCACACTGCCGTGGCTGCCCCTCGGCGCCCGAGACGTCCGCGACCAGCGCTTGGGATGGGTTGAAGCGGCGCAGGTTGGCCAGCCACGGCTCCGCTAAGAGTGCGGGGCGGTTTGTTGAAATAAAAGTAGAGCAAACGGGTTGTCCCTGAAAGAAATGAAAAGTTGTTAGAGCTGGATAAGCTGCTACAAACGGGTTGTAGCACCAAAAGTCAATGGGCAAAATCTTGCTCATGTGATTGGCGCAAGTGTGTGCTCGATGCAGCGATTCATTGGGCGGTTCCGAGGCAAGAATCGCCGATAGGGTTGGAACATACAGACCCTAGCCGCCAAAGGGAAACCAAGTGGAGGTTGCTGAAACAGTAACGGGTGAAACATGAGAACAGTCGGGGTGAAAGTAGATGGGGCAAGGGAATTGTGCATCTACATTCACCCTGGTTGTTTTGAGCAAGGGGCACCAAGCACCAGGCTAGACCCCTTTTTGTGAACTTACCAAGCGGGCTTGGGCGCTGCTCAATCAGGGTTGTCTCCAAACGAGTAACCCCCAGCAAAAATCGGCTACGATGTGTTGTCCAGCCCCGAACCAGTCTTGTGGCCTCACATTTTTACCCCACCCGAAAACCGGTTCCCTTCATGGATTCCTTAAGGGAATCCCTTGGGAATGACAAATGGAATCACCCCGGGCTTCCTGGGAATCCCCAAAACCCTTTTTGGCCTTGGAACGAGCTTGGGGTTTGGCGCAATTCCGGCACCCCCAAAGAGGTTTCGGGAACCAACCGCGACCTCCAAGGTCCCGGACGTGGAAACGGCCTAGCGAAAAAAACAAATCGGTGGACCCGACTTTCGATGAAGGGTCTCAAAAAAGGGGGGGTTCACCTTTTGTGGTCTGCCAAAAAGGGTGGGGCCCTTTTTGGTTGGTATCTTCAAGGGAAATCCACGGAACCAACGCCTCTTTTGGGTTGATGTCTGAACAAAACCCAAAAGGAAACCGACCATTTGGGGGCTCCCTGGGTCTGAGAAACACCCTAGGTTCCGAACCTTGCGGGTTCCAACAAAGGGCACGAAAACCAGAAACGCCACCGTCGCCACCCATCCAACGCATCCAAGCCATCTAAGTGGACATTTGGGGAACCCAACCGGTGGAGTTTCGGTGTTTTGCTGGCCTCGTTTTGGGTCGATACCCTTTTTCCAATGGAAGACGATGGAAGCGCTTTGAAAGACGATCCTCGTGAAACCGCCGGGAAGCCACTTCCATTGGAAGGAGCTGGCAGAAAGGGATCCTAGTAAAGCCTCCGCACACGTAGGAGGCTAACCCCAGTCAAAAATGGGAAAGGAGGTCGTCGCAAAATGGGAAAGGAGGTCCTAAATTTGGAGGTAAAGCGCCCCCTCTTTATTTGTACCTCCAAGTTGGGTGATCGAAAACCCTGCTGGCTATGAACGACCGACTCTTGCAGTGAACAAACGAAGGAGCCAAACACGTTGAACAGTCGTTCAATCATCCCACTTGCCTCCACCCCTGCCAAAGGAAAGGTTGACTGAAGCTGAGAGGTGGTCGATTTCGCCATCAGAAAATCTGGGGGGGGGGGGGGTCTTGCCTGGGGGAGTCAACAAGTAGAATCCTGGACGTAGGGGTTCCATACCATCCTCTGGTTGGTGAGTTGGTCATTGCAAACCCTGAAACCAAGCCGCACGCACTTGCCCTTTGGTAGAAGCGCATCACCTCCCCAGGCCCAGCCAAACCAAAAAAAGGAACGAGCACTCAACGCACCGTCGGCAAATGTCCAGACAGCCTTGCTCCGAAAACCCCAAGACTTCGACAAGTGGGCCCCAGATAAAGCCAGCTCACCCAGATTTCCGACTGGCTTGGACACCTACTGTGGATGGACAAAATCCCGCACCACCTAAGAACGTATGGGAAACCATTGTTTGTTGGTATCTACAGGGAAATCTATCATTCCAGGGGTTCCTCCCCTACGGGCACAATCCCTGGAAGTAAACAGGAAGCTCCGAAGCTTTTATATTTCTATGTTATTTTTGTTTGCAGGTTAGTCAAAAAAAAACACATGGTTTTGGTTAGTGTAACCCATGGGCTGTTTTGGTTGGTGTAGCCCATGGGCTCCTTTCGCATATGGTGCACCTTGATGAATCCCAGGCCTGTCCGCCCGGAAGGAACACACCTGGCGCAGTCTTTTCCGCTCGAGGGGATGGTTGAAACCCAAGGAAGCCAAACCAATTGGGTGTATCTTTTTTGGAGGGCACGATAAAGTACCCCTTTTTTGGTGGTTCAAGGGCAACCAAAAGGAAGCCAAACCAATTGGGGGGGGGGGGTCCCGAAAGAAGACACGCGCAATTGTTTCTCTTGGGTGTTTGATTTGATCTTTTCGAGGCTCGGAGAACTTGACAGAAACGAAACGGGGCTTCAACGACTTCCTGGGAAACTATCCAAGCCCTGTCCTAAGACCTCCCGCCCCACATCGCCCCCCATCCCGAAAAGAATAAAACGCAAGCCAAATGAGCTCCAAAGGTACATCAACTTGAGCATCTCCGCCACAACAAGTCTTTCAAAGGCGGCCAAAGAAGGCGCATCGTGAGTTGCCGCATCCTTTGCCCCCAGGAGATGTGGAACATCAGTTCAAACAGCTGACCTCATGGGCCATCCATTCAAAGGTTTGAGCTGATGGTTGATGCAACGCGCACTACCCCCCACAACTGCTGGGCCGTGCTTCGTTTCTCCCTCGCCAACAAGCACTCGAATTGCTGGCTATGAAGCATTCCTTGAAACAGGGTAGGTTCAAACCTCATCTGGCTGTACAGTATCTTTTTGTTGAGGGTGCCCATGGTGGGTGCCGTTTTCCCACGGACGCCAGAAGGAAACCCAAGGCCCGGTGTTTTGGGAGATCCCTCTTAGGGGAACCTCATCTTGTTAGGGTGCCGTATGTCATCTTTAAACATCATCCGACCAAAAGGAACCTCACTTAAATTTGAACAACCAAACAAGGTGGTTCATTATCTAGTTGCCTGAAAAAACTGGGGTCATTATGTTGACTGTTTTTGGGGGTGTCGAAGTCAGAAACTGGGGTGGTGTCCCTTGAACCTGCCATTTAGGGGGTGAGTTTGATAGTGGCGGAGAAAAAGAAGAAGAAGAAAAACCTTGGGCCAGAAAGAAGTGATCAATATCTTATTGCTTTCTTATTTTCTTGTTGCTTGTTGGCTGCAAAGAACATCAACCATCCGGAAATTCCACATGTTGGGCCACCAACATCCAGGCGAGCTCCCAGCATCCCATCCCAGGCCGGGGCCTTGCGGAGGGAGCCCTGGGCGTTGCGCTTCGAGCTTCGCTTGGGCAACTCGCAACGCCCTAGCGCCTCACCAACTCGGGTCCCATTGAGAAGCGTTGGATCTTCCAGGGGCCCCTAGCTTGTTCGAAGCTACGAGTGCCCTAGTTCGCCTTAACTCGGACGACAAAGTGAGCACCGAAAACCATCGGAAGACGTTGAACAACTCCCGTGTGCTGTGACAAGTTGGGCAATTTCGGCAAGTGCCCAGGTCTTGCCCAAGGCTAGAAAGGGAGGGGCCTCAAAACGAGACTCGCCTAAACCGCATGGGTTTGGGGCTCCACAGTTGCTCTTTTCTGCAGGCCAATGGGACACCGTCGCCACTTCCACATTTAAGGCTGTGGGTCAAAACCAATGGGATCCCATTTTGGTTGGTAGGCGCACCACCCATTTTGATGTTCACTGGGGGTACGGAATTTTGACCCATGGCCATTTGAAGGTTACCTTATCACAAAGCCAACTTGGTCCACCCAACGCAACTGCTCCTTTTTCGAGGCAGCCCCTGCGCTGTCAAAAACTGCCTGATGCCTGGCCGGTCTGTCTGGTCAGTTGGATGTTCAGGATGTGGCATTCACGGGTTTCTCGACATCTCTGACGGACCTGAACGAACCAAACCTGTCCAAACCCTTTGGTCCCGCTCAGGCCATCATTCAGCTGTGCTCTCACATGTCCGCGTAGGAATTGCCGGCGCCGTTGTTGTAGACGGACATGGGGTGGCCACGCTTGATGGGGGTCTTGAGCGCGTCGAAGATCGGGTCAGAGGTGTACTCCTTATAGAGCTTCTTCACCTCATCCTTCTTGCCCTCGTCGGCCGCCTCAAGCAGCTGCTCGGCCAGGGTGGAGTACTTGGTGAACAGGGCCGGCTCGTTCCTCCAGTAGCTGTTCAGGAGCTTGAACTTGGGCTCCTTCTTCAGGATAGTCTCCATGTCGCCCTTGTCCACCGCAGCCTGCAGCTTCAGGATCTGCGGGCCATACCTGGTGAGGCAGGCGAGCGGCTCCCCCTGCGCATCAGCCCATGCTGCCTGAGTTCCACGGGTAGCGATCGAGAGGCCGGCCGCCTGCAAAGCTTCCCTCCTGTTCAGGCCTGTCGCCACAAACGCCGGCGCCACGGCACTGTAAAGCACGCCAGCTGCGCCAAGCAACACCAAGGCCGCCGACAACACAGAGCTGCGTGCCATGGCGGAGCCGTCAAAGGGCAACTGGACTCGCCTTGGCTGTAAAAACCCTGCGGGTGCACTTGCACTCTCAGTTACCTTGACCCCCTTGACAAATGTGCAAATGACGGAAAAAAAACTATGCCCTCCTTGGGAAATGAATACTTCTACACTTTGACGCCGTCCGGGGGAGGTCCCTTCATTTCCCAAAGCAATCGAGAAAAAATAGGGCATGGTTGACTGAATGCTTGGCATGCGAAGCTTCCCCAAGCCAGAAATTAGGGGAACTCCACAATGACGGACCTTCATGTTCATTGTGGGTGGGCTCATTTGACCCGATGAAAGCATGGCCTGGAAATTGAGACAGCACAGCTTGCCATGCACATAATCTACGAGTGGTTGTACATACACCTTTTACAAGCAAGTAGGGAAAAATGGCTATGGGTCAAGATTAAGTTGCCAGGAATCGGGCTGCAGGCTTTAGACCTTGTTTCCATTCACCAGGGTTCCGTTTTGCCTACCTGTGTTTGACCCACCCAAATGAACCAAAAGGCTTGTTGTTCATACCCCACTGCCCATCGGCTCGCTCGGCTGGCGCGGATGGAATCGCTCTCTGGGCGTCTCGCTGGGCATGTCAGGCATTTCCTGCGGATGCCGCCGATGACGACTATTTGGCACCCATTCCTTTGGGGTGCGCGATTCTTACAGGAGATGTCCTCTCCAACAGTTGCAACTTCCTGGCGGCTTCACTTGGAGGTTCCAAAAAGGAAAGTGGAAGAACCCCTGCCTTCTGGAAGTCACAAAACAAAAACGGAAGGGTGGAGAAACCTGGGTGGTAACCCTTTGCCCCCAGTCTGTCCAGTCAGGGGACCCGTTGCACGAGTTCTGATAAACGTGTTCCAATCGCCGAAACCAAAAACCGCAACAAAAGCCGGCCAGAACCAAGCCCAAACCACCGACTGCCAAACCCAAACCCGAACCTTCAAAAGGCAAGCAAGCCAAACCGGGTTGAGTTGAGTGTCATTTGATCTTGGGACGGCAGGCCCACATCTGGGGTGTACAGAAAACAATATGTTTTAATTAGGTGTCCAATACAAAACTATCACGGAGACCTCAGGAAAATGTAGGCACACAGTTCTGGGCAAGGGGATGATAAACCCGAAATGGTTTGGAGGTGGCATATGCTTTCACCCAACTGTATCCTATGGCAACTCCTTGGTCACCCGCTGGTTTAAGCCATGGTTTAAACAACCTCTTTTTGGTCGGGGCCCAAAGGCTGGTTGTGCAAACCAATCTTGGGTTGGGGTGTCTTTTTTACTAGCCCCGGCTTTTTCCTGGCCCCAGCTCAGCACAAGGCCTCCAACATATGCGTCTAAACTGGGCTGCCCTCAGAGGGTTTAATGGAAACTACCACTAAACACTAAAAGGATCTAAAAAGCTAAGGAACCGCATGGCTGGGAGCCACCAAGCAAAGAGGTTCTAGGACAAAAGGCGGTCTTCTCTGGAGGCTTAAGTCCGGCATCACCGTTGGTTGCAGTTCAGAGTTGCTCTGGGCTGGTTTCGGGTGAGTGTTACACTTGCTGATGTCTTAATGAGGCCGGGTCTTGGGTTTGTGTGGGGTTCATTTCAGGTCGACAAAGGGCTGATATCCAAAATTATATTGGGAGGGTTTAAGGTTGACTTTTTGAGTCGGCTCAAAACTTGTCAACCCAGGCCGACTGGGCTGACAAGTTTTGGGCTGGCTTGGGATTGGTTGCAGGGCGTTGCCCAAACCACCAAAACTAGCCCAAAACTTGCCTAACTACGCCCCGAAGCAGCCCAAAAACTACCGCGCAACACCTAGCCGCACGCATAGCGCAAATCAGCTCCAAGCCAACCCAACCCGACTCAAAGTCAACCTTAAACCCTCCCAACAGCATCCTGGATATCAGCCCTTTGTCGAGCCGAACTGAATCCCAAACAAACCCAAGACCCGCCCTCACTAAGACATCAGCAAGTGCAACACTCACCCCCGAAACCAGCCCCGAGCAACTCGGAAATGCCACCTAATCAAAACCCAGCACTAGTCCAAGCGAGGCTGGTCACGCTGGGGATGTGGCCGGTTAAACCCAAGCAACTCTCATCACTGCCAATACGCAGTCCTGACCCCAAGTAACCGGGGATGCTGAGGATGCGGCCGACCAACCGACCAACCGACCAACCAACCAACCGACCAACCAACCAACCATCAACCAGTCCCCTGGCCGGGGCTAAGCCCCGAGCTGGGGCCAGTAAAAAGAAGTCACCGGTTCCCCAATCTCGCAACCCCTAAAAAGAGCCATGCTTCATCAACCCGAATCTGGCGAATCCTCCCCAGTTCCACTCCTGCGGCCACGGGTGGCCGGCTCCAGCCACCACAAACGTCTGTGCCATCACCTCGAGCGGATGAGACACAAAAAAACCAAAAGGCTTCGAGGCGTTGCCCTTTGGAAGCAACCCCCAAAGTATCTATTTCTATAGGGGGAAGGACCCTTTAGCTTGTGTACATGTATACATATATATATATATATGTATATATATATATGTATATATATATATATGTATATGTATACAAATATGCTAAGACCCCCTCCTATATATATATATACACCTACTGAACCGCTGGTATGGGACTGTATCCACTAATAAAAGGGCACTCTATTCGCGATTTGAAAAGGACTCGCGACTCTATTCGCGAATAGAATGGACTCTTCGCGACTGCACTCGTGAATAGAATGGGACTTGACACGACTGCATTCACGAATAGAATGCTGCTCTGCACGACTCTAAATGCGAATAGAATGAGACTGGAATAGACTTGGGCTCTATTCACGAATAGACTTGGACTCTATTCACGAAAAGAATGAGACTCTGCACGACTCTCTACACGACTGGATTCGCGAAGAGAATGCTTTCGCGAAAAGAATAGGACTCTATCCACGAATGGAATGGGACTCTGTTCGCGAATAGAATTGGACGCGATTCGCGACCAAACTGGGACTCTCTTCGCGAATAGGATGGGACCCGACACGGCTCCATTCGCGAATAGATTGGGACTCTACACGACTCTATGTGCGAATAGAGTTCGGCCCTACGCCTCTACACGTCTTTACTTGCGAGTAGAAGCTCGATTCGCGAATGGAATGAAATCTATCGCAAATAGAAGGGGACTGACTCTACACGACTCTTTCGCGAGGAGAACGGGACTCCACACGACTCTATTGGCGAATAGAATTGGGACTCTACACGACTCTGTCACGACTCTATTCGCGAAAAGAATGGCACTCTATTCCCTGTACTACCAGGGTGGTGGGGCTAGACACCATGAAATGGGGGCGTCTGACACCATGTTCATTTTGTCCCTGTCGTCTAACCCCTATATCAAATTGGAAAAACCTAGGCGAAGATTGGAAAAAAAGGTCTCGTTTTGTTTTTCACATAAAATGGGTCCAACAAAATAACTCTGAGCAAAGCTGGTGGAAAATTGAGAAAACTGCCCCGTTCATGCTTTTTCTGGGGAACACTGCAAAAACATAGTTCTCACTTTCGGCGTGCTTTAGCCCCGCCCCCCGCAGCAAAGACTGAGCATCGGCAATCCTGAGTTAAGCGGTGGGAATCTAAGATTCAGTATCAGCAAAACCAAACTTAGTATTGGCAGCACTGAATGCGTACGGAATTCAGGATCAAGTGTTGGCAATACCAAAAAAAATGTATGGCCAGTTTGGGGATGAAAGGTTAAGCATTGGCACCTTTCCTCCAAAAAAGAAGCTTCAGCATTTCACGTACCAAACTCGGCGCTGCCAGGTCAAGACTCAGTCTTGGGTTCCCACCGCGAGACTCAGGATGTGTTTTCTCTGTGGCTGGCTATACTAGCCACATGTAAACTCAGATACCCAGTGGCCATGGGAAAAAAAAGGGGCCCCTTGTTTTGTTGGTTGAGGTCAACGGGGAACCCTTGCCCCAAGGCATCGCTGGGCAACAGAGTAAAAAAAGAAGGGCTTTGAGCCGAAGCATGACTCAAAGATCTTCACGACGTCAAAGTTACTCCCACTTGTTTCGTTGCCGGAACCTGACATGGGTGTTTCCGACGGATTGGACCCTTGCCGGTTGGCTCCCTTCTGCTTTTCAAAACCTGAAAAGGGGACCCAACCATGTTTGGGGGGGTGCCAATACCCGTGCCAACGTGACTCCCTGGATGTGTGTCATGGTCCCCTCGAGAATTCCCTGGTTGGACTTAAGGGGTCCACACCAGCGCTGACGTATCCACACCCAAGGACCCCGCACCCCACCCAAAATGGGCCTTGGAGGCTTGGAGGCTTGGAGGCTTGGAGGCTTGGAGGCTTGGAGGCTTGGAGGGGCCCGGAATCCTGAGACGACTATCCCTCCCACTTCCCCGCCTCAAGACGGCACGGCACCCGCGCCGGGTGCACTGTGAGCCCTTCGAAAGGAAGCCAAAAACACGCGGCGCTTGAGTGACTTGACGCACGGCAACCCGTCGTGAAGAGTTGCCGAGCTGCCCTTTTGCCAGGGCGGTGTTGCTTCTTACAATTCTATGAAAGGAACAGCAACTCCTGGGCCCGAGCCGCTCAAAGCCTTTGTATATGGGGAAGGAAAATAGTGGGACCCACCAACCTTTGTTGGAGTCAGAGGGGAAACAAGTCCTCCATGGACGAAAAGGGACTAACAGGTAGCTCTTGCTTGCTGGCCTGGCTTCGGGGGGTTGCGGGTTGCACCTCTCTTTGTCGTGGAAACCAGATGAGCGCCCGGAAATCACCCGTTGACGTGTCCGGTTGCAAAGGTTTA